TAAACGCTTGGTCAAAAGCTTCATTCTCCGAGGGCACTCCAAGTCTCTTGTAGTGTCCTGCTAGAACTTCCCTTTTTCCCTTCCCACTGCTGACTAATCCACCGTTCACACCTCGCAAAGTTGCGACCCCTGTATCCCCCCCTTGCGCGGTCTTTTTTACCATTCCACTAATCCCTTCCCACATCTGCTTGACGTTTCCCTCCACGTACCGGGGGGGGATTTTTTTTTTTTTCCAACGCTACGCCTGGGGTTGTGCAAAATAATTATGGTCCACACACCACCCACACAGAGAGGCGAAACTGAGATGTATGTATAAGGTTTACGAGCAAACGTTCAACAAGCAGAGGGGGTGGAACGTAGGAGCGCAACGAAGGCGACGAAAAACAAGACAGCAAGGAGGACAGCAGCAGGGGGAGTTGGTCTCGTCCCGCGAGTGATTCCAAGAAGAAGAAGGGCCCGCCTCTCAGTAACAAACGGTACACCAAAATATCGCTCGAAGCGCAGATCTGCAAATGAATTTTCCGTCCCATTTTGTGCTTGTTGTGCTCCGCGACGCAACAAACTCGACTCAGAAAATAAGGGAAATGCATCCCCCCCGGGGGGAACCCGTGGAAAAACTATTACCCCGGGGATAAATTGAAATACCCAGGGGGATCTTCTTTTTTTTTGTCAAAAAACGCTCAACCCCGAGGCTAACTCAAAGAAACCATGCTTCCAGGCCGACAAGGTCATGGGGGGGGGGAGTAACTCTACTAGGGGGGGAAAACTCCGCCGTTTACGGTACACGGGTTCGCTACGTCCACTGGCGCGCGCGTGTGTGTGCAAGAGAGAGAGAGAGGGAGAGAGAGAACGGTGCAAGGGGCAGGTATCTCGACAGGATGAAAATAAATCAGAGGTCAGGTACTTACCGCACCAATACACGCCTTTCGATCCGAAACCAAGAAATGGCCTCGAAAATTGGGCAAGGGAGGCTCGCGGGGACGGCCAACGCAATAACCCACGTCATGCCTTTCAGGTTTCAAAGTGCGCCCGAGTTCTCTCGTGAATTGGGAAGTGGTGCATTAAATGCGGACGGACCAACCCCGTCTCCGACAAGTCTCCCTCCATCCAAGCGCTGCCCGGAAAAAATTACGACAAACCATCGTCCGCGTCCATTCGATTTACAACACAAGTACATTAAACTTGCAACCAAGAACCTCCGACAGATACGGTCGATGTTGCAGGATTACACCGGAGCATAAATAAAGGGTTTCCATTTTGAGCGTTCTCACGCAACATCGCGTGCAGATCTCTGAACCTTACCGGAAAACGCTCCGATGCGCACGGCACCGAGCACGGCCAGAAGGAAGGGCTGCGAGCGGTCAGCTAGCTGCCAGCACGAGTGAGTGCTACCTTTGGAAAGCTTTCTAGCACAGCGGTACTGCGCCTAGACCGTCCGGGCCTTGACTGCTGTCCATGACGTCAAACAAACGCGATACAGCCACACGCTGACCGAGCTACTCTTGACCCAAAACAAAAGAGCACGGAAAAAAAAAAAGGAGCTTGTACACACAAAAAGAGGGCTTTTTCGCACACGAGGGTTACGAGAGACACACGGTGTGTGGTCTCGAAGCCGCCCAGTACATACACCTGGGGAGGCTCAAGCCTCGTGGCACCCGCTTGCATTGAGAGAACGCAGCCTAGCAGCAAGACATACTTTCTAGAAAACGCTGCATAGCGCCAGCCAACCGACTTGCAACGGCAGGGACGGGAGCGAGGCCTGCTCAACATGTTAATCTCATATCAAAGCTGAGCGGCTCATGTCGAGGTAGCCGGCGTGCATGAGCGCGTACGGGATGAACTCTTCCAGGACGCTCCGATCCACCTGCCGATCGCGCGCACAAGAAGGCAACGCAAAAAAAAAAGAAACACGTTTGTAAGATTCAAACCCGTCATTGCTAAATCTATCCCTTGTACGGGGACGGGATGAACTGAAATTGTGTTTACAACCAAGAAAGCAGAAAAGAAAAACGTGTGACCCTCCGTAACTAATATAGACGAAAAACCGTTACGAAAAGGGGCGGCTTCGTCAAGTCGCGATAACAAGAACCCATTAACAGACCTTCACTACGCACTTGCTTGTACACTTCTACACTCCGGTGCGTGGAACTGCTGTGGCATTCATCGTGAAAGCGCTGAAACGGGAGAAAACATAGGCTCAGGCTTGTGGGACACCGCTTGACGAGCTGGCTTGCCCAAAGAACACGAGCACTCAAAAACAGTCATGTACACTGGGGGCCCCGCAGTAGTAGCGCCTGTCGAGAAGTGCCGAGTACCCGCTGTAGTGCCGATGGCATCGCGGTCAGACACATGTGGTACACAACTTCAAATCTTTGTCAATACTCTGGAGAGTCCTGGGTGACCGGCGACAACGGTGCCCGTGTAACTGGATGGCACACAGCGTAACAACCGACGGCCGCCGCCTACCATACACAAAATCCCCCCCCTTGCCAAAACACAACAAGGATGCAACCCGTCGAAAAAAACACTCCGTCGGAAGTAGCGAGGGAGGGAGTGGCCGCACTCGCCAACCCCGGTGGTTAGCATGAACAGCACGCACGTGAGTAATTGTCCTGGGACAAATCGTCCATGGTTGGCATAGGAAACGCACATCAAGTATGCAGAACTCATTTGGTTGGGGCGCGCAGGGTGCGCGCGC